GTATGCAAATTAGTTATTGCAGATCCCCCCATTTAAGAACAAAGACTACTCTTGAACACATCCTCACCATAAAAAATGACAGTAGTTGTTGCCGGATGTTTCAATATGAAAGTCATAGTTGCATTCTCTCTTCATCTTTATTTTCTTGATACATTCAACATGACAGAAAATTTGATGCCAGATTAAGATTCAAGTGTCGATCTCTGCCAACCGAAGTTAGAAAATTAAAAGGGGAAAAGATTTGTATATTAGAATTCATCTCCTCTAGAAGAAAAGCCTGAGGAGCTTCCTTTCAGCAGTGCCACACTGCGCAGCGCTACTCCCTAACGTTGACGTTTCAGATCCCTCCGATGGCGTCGCTGCGCTCCCATCATCCTTTCGGCCGGTGCCAACCACTACCACTCTCTCCGGCGAACCTGATCTCCCCAAGCAGTACTGATGATCAACAAGATGATCGCGTGCTTGGATATTATTCTCCAACACGAAGTCGTAACAACGAACTTTTCTCTTTAGGTTACTTGATCCCAATCCCGCCATATAGTCTCGCTGCCTAGAAAGATCTAGAACGGGTCCGAAGCAATCGTCCTCCGCCGCAGTCGGTGCCGAATTTCCTCCGGAGACGTCAGGGAGTGGAGTCAAGGCGCCGCCGTAGAGAACTCTCTGAACTCCTGATTGGCAAAGATGCCAATTCCCGGTCCAGAGCAGGCCCACTGCACCGTTCACCGGATTTATGGTTCGTCCCACTGCTTCGTACAAAAGCGATCGAAACAAAGCTGCCAAACCACAAACACAATTTAGAAAACTAAAGCTCTCTATCTTCCTGTCATGCCCTTCTCGAATATAATTAGTTTTGTATTGATGACGGCTGTGTGTGTGTGACACTGTGTATGTATAGAGATTGTAGAGGGAGAGGGAGAGGGAAGAGGGAAGAGGGAAGAGGAAGGTGGCGTATGAATGATACCGGATCTCTGCGGGGAGGGTACGGCGGAGACGAAGGACATGAGGGCGGCGCGGCCGAAGAATTTAGCGACGAAGACGGTGGCATGGGCTTGGGCTTGTGGGCTCTCTATGCCCAGAAGGCAATCTCGGAGCATGCAGTCGTCGCTGCAACCTTTCCTAAGCACACGACAACCGTTGCAGCTCATCCCTCCCTCTCTCTCTCTATATATATGTGTGTGCGCGCGCGCGCTTCTTCCTCCTCCTCCTGCTGCTCCTGTTCACCTGCAACTCTTGATTAAACCCTCAAAATCCAAAGTGGGAAGCTAATGATAGACTCAAAAAGAAACAGAAAGATGAAGGAAGGGTTGTGGAAGATGAGGCTTGCATGTAATGAAATGTTATGGGAATGGGATATATAGAGGGAAGACCTTCACCATTATTCATATAATTTCATATATTATAAGCCAAAGCACGAATGGATTATTAATTGTTAATTATACAATAAGTATGGTTAATTTAATCTCATTATGTGGTTGAGTTTATACAGTAATTAGTGAGTAGTACTACTATATGTGATGGGGGTGGGGTTGGGCGTTGGTCTCTTCCAAAGAAACTGGCGACGACAGCTGCTCAGGTTCTCCGCAAATGTTGGAATTCCTCCAGACCTCCACCGTTGGATTCTCCGTCCTTCCCAGTTTTCCAATATTACATTTTAATCCCACACACACTTTTTTAATATATAGTTATTTCATAGGATGAAATTCAAGTATTGTTTGGCATAATTGGGAATATCTCTCGTAAAAACGTTTCTCTGCATTTATATAAATTCAATTTAATTAGGTTATAATCAAGTATTTGTGAGCCTAATTGGAGGCATTCATCTCAAAGACATTTTCTAAATTTACACGGATTCTGCTTGTACAGTCAAAATTTCTTCAACTAAGATCAGTGCCCGTTGGTATCTGCAAACACATGGGCAATAATTTATATTAATATGTAATTATCATCAGTTACTAGTGTTCATCCTCACAGAACGAGAAATTAAGTTGTATTTCACTCACAATAGTGTGTCTTTTCAAAGATTCTATAAGCATAAGATCTAGTTAAATGATTTGAGTTAATTAGTTAAGTTAGTTACTTGTAATAAATAGATATTGTCTTTCTTAAAATATCCTTGCTAACCATATATATTAGTTAGATTTACCATTTAATGAAATATTTAACATATACAACTATTATAAAGACTATCTTGAGAAAATAGATAAATATGAAAAACAAAATAGATTAAAATCTTATATTTAAAACTAAATGGAATATCAAATCAACTTTTATATTAAGTAACAGGAATAGTATCAATTGATGTAGATGTAGGAATTGTTATCCTAATTTGCTTGGTTATAGTTTTATATATGCATTTGAAATTTGCTATGCAAGTCCGAGAATATATAACTTTTGACTCAAAATGGCAGCTGGAAAAGTTGTGAGAAAATATATATTTAATTTCCTCCAAATCTAGATATAAGAATTAGATAATCCTGGGAGAAAAAGTTAATTATTTATATAAAATGTATATTGATCTTCCTAAAACACTTTCTTTAATTATTTGCGTGAAAACTATCTCGCCATGAAAATCTTTTTAATATGTGCAATCCATAAAACTAATTAAAAAAATTATAAATTTAAGAAATAAAGTGAATTGAATTCTTACATTAAACAAATTATAAATCTATTAGCTCCTATATTTATAATGGGAAATAGTTAGAGAGAAAGCAAAGTTTTAAATATGGAAAGGGAAAAATAAAAAAAAGGAACGAGGAAGGCAGGGGTTGGTCGGTTGATGGATGAGGATGAAGGCATAGGCATAGAAGTTACAGCCAGTCGAAGAATACAAGTGACGTGTCTGTCCAAAAATTAATGGACCACATTTGCATTCATATAATATTTAATTAGATTAATTTGAGAGAGATTAAAAAAAGTGGTTATTATATATATCCCATAAAATTAAAGAAAATTAATGTGCTTGTGGAGAATGGGATTCCATTTTGGTTAAAACTTTTGGAGCTTCCAGATTTTGGCTTCTTCCATCTCTCCTCCCATTTGCCATTATTTTATTTACATTCTTTATTTTTATTTCCAGGGTCTTCCTCTTCCCCTTCATTATTAATATCATTTATATATATTAACTCAATACTCACTTCCCACTTAGCCTCGTGCTTACCACACATTATTAAATATTTAATTCTTTTTCACACCACCAATTTATCTGAATCATCCAAAGTTATAATATTCTTAACGACTAATTTCTTTTCACTATTTTATTTTTTTATTCATTTGTATCCTCTTGTTAAAATATTTTTACAGATTTTTTTAGTTATAAAGATTTAAAAATAAAATCCGACCTTACGTAGTTTACTAGTCTCAGAAAGAAGGACTATTATTGGCATCACATACCTTTTCATATTATAAACTTCTTCTGCCCCTTCAATGCATCAGGAAGACAAATGGGATTTGGAACTCAGAATTGGGCATCTTATTTTTTATACCTACATATTTACATATGCTTCAAACATATCTCAATTTACTTTCAGAAAATTAATGTGGAGTCTCATACAAACAATTTAATCACTAAAAAAAATTCATAATAATAAATTAGTAGTATGTAACGACAAGTTACGATATAAAAAATAATAGCAGGTACATATTTTTCACTTATTGCCATACTTTTTTGTGATTTAATTAGTATTTATATGAATTTCTCTTCTCATCTCTTTTTTTTTCTCCTTTTTTAAGTGAATTGTGTTGTGAATCCATTCAGGTTTTGGTTGGTCTCAAAACTTAACGACATTTCTAGGGATATTACTATTTATTCATCAAAGTAATTTTCTTCTGTTATCTTATTTATGATCTCCTAATGCTCAGCTTTAACCCTTAAAGTCAAAAGAGCTAGAAGGTTTAGGAAAATTTTACCGCACTGTCTTAAATTACGATACTACTATATAGTTATTAATCCTTTATTTTGAAACTTTGATATTTCAAGCTTTTGCTCTCCAACAATATCTGAGTTTCTTTCGATAGGAACAACGTGAGGGTGGGTACGATTTGTACAATGGCTTCATTAATATAGTAAAAAAAATAGCATAGTAACAACTGGCTTAGCTAATTATTTACAGAATTTTTAATTTAAAATAGCGGTGATGCGCAATGATTATGCAGCCTAAAGACAAGTTAGAATGACCTTGTTTTTATTAATCTGAGAATTAATTAGTCACCCCACAATGGTTACTTAGTGTTTTACAGCCCTTCTGACGTTCATTTTAATGCATGCTTTCTGTGAATTTTGGGTTAGTGATTTTGTTCCTTTTGATATGTGCTGCGAGTTACTAATTAATGTAATACATATATAGAGTATTTTTTTAAATGATCTCGATTTAATAAATTTATAACCTTTTTTTTTAAAATGTGATTTTTGGTGTATTGCTTGGCTGTTGTCATTGTTGTGAAGCAGAAATGTTAATTTCTTTTGTCTGTGCTCTAAATTGGATTAGACTCAAGCAAATAGTTCTGTCCTGTTATGAAGCACATAAAAAAAAGTAATAATCTTAAAGAATCTACAGGTGGCTAGCTAATAATAATTCAGAAATTAACTGGCTTGATTTCTTGCTAAAATTCTCCCTCAGTTCTCTCTTCGCACTGTGATCCCCCAAAGCAGATTCCTATTATAAATCAAACCGGTCTCATAGCTAAATCCACAATGTTTATTGGACACTCTTGTCTTAAAGATGAGTGATCTTATAGCAAAAATGACAAGCAAAAATAATCAATTTTTAATTATAAATCAGTAGTTGAGAAACGTATATTAAAAAGAAAAAGAAAAGAAAGGCCTGAAAATGAAATAAAGTTTTTCTTTTGATTGCCTTGGCGTGTTGGGAGAGACTTCAAAAGTAATTAAGTTCAAGGTCCCTTCTAGCTAGTTGTTGAAAGAACAGTGCAGATCATCCGCATCCAAGTAGAAATCATACTACAGATTGAATCCTTAATCCTGCTCCCTCATACACTCTAACAAGGTGGGTTCTAACTTCTAAATACCCATCCCTTGTTGCTGGAAATTTTTTAATATAGAGGCAAAAGATATAAGGAGACCAAGATTATAAATCTTATTATTATTTGTTATTTCTGTCTCTGTCTCCGCTATCAGAGAGGGTTCCTTCACATTATGTGGACTTGACTGGGAACAAAAGTTTGAGTTTCAGCTAGTTTGAATAGAATGAATACCAAGGATCACATTATTTCCATCCTCAACAATTCTACTATCCCAAACTATATATACCTTGGTTTTTATACTCAATCCATAGACAAAACACCAATGTTGGCAACTAATGCATCAAAATGAATTCAATTCACCTTCAGGAAACTGAGTGCCTCCTGTTTCTGGAAGCTGTAGATTTGGCTTCTTCTGGGATAGCAGAACCATTACTCTCAGAGGAGTCGGAGCCACTATTATTTTCTCCAGCACCACTTTTGCTAACCCACAGCTTTATGAAGGACCTTTTTGATTTGAGCAACCCTTTCATCTTGCTCATGACAACCTTGTCTGTCATAGGTTTATTATTATTATTATCATCATGTCCATCTTTGTCTCTGGTGGATAAACTTAAGGATGCAACTTCCTTCCTCAATTCCTTCAGTTCCTCAGCTGTGGCAACATTATCTGAGTCATCTTCTGTGTTACTTGAACCACCATGGGTTCCACTGTTTATACACATGATGGTCCCTTTCAGCATATCAGGAGTGTTTGTGCCAGAAGTTGCAGCAGACCTTGCCTGCTCAAAATAGAGAACCTGCACAACCACACGCATCGGTAGCCTTTCATTTTGGACTGCATGCATGCAGGCATCAACCGATAGCTTCTTGCAATCCATGAGCTTGCATATCCCATTTCTCTCATCTTTGCTGATTCCTGGGTGCTCCTGTTTCCAAATGCAATAAAATTGAAGGGATGCCTCAGTTACTTTTTCACAATGATGTTAAGAATTAGGATAAAATTGCTGTTTCCCTTGATGTGGTTTGGCCTAAAAGTTGGTTTATTATGCATCCCTCCGATTGTTTGCCCTATTACCACTTGACCTCATTGTGTGTAACTTTTTTGTTCACCTTTTAACATAAATCAGAAATAACCATCTGGCTATAAACAATGGATATTTTTGTCGTTGAAAAGCCTGCACTTGTTGAACTGTTTCAAGATACAAGATAATCAGACTTTTTAACAAAGATTTTTTTTATTTTATCAGTTTAATATTTATCTAAGAACTTCATAGTTGGGTGATTGTGCAGGGCAGACCATAGGATGGCTAAATGAAATGCGTTCAACTACAAGGGGTAAATCAGACGCCCTTAAGCAGACATTTTATAGGATTAAAATGTGCTAAAACAGACAGCATATGAAGGAATAGATTCTGTTTCTGTTATATGATGTCATATTTGGATCCGAGTAGAAGTCTTTTTTAAAGAATATCTTTTCAGGAACAATTACCTTAAGATACATATCAATGGCCCTGTAAAGTGCATCATGAGTAGGACGAGGTATGCCAGACACCAGTTCAGCAAGATCAACAAACTTCGATAATGGTAAATTGGGATCTTTTGAAATTTCAGCAAGGTATCCATCAACAAGTTTTGCAACCATCAACTTTGAACCTTCTGATAAAATCCCTGGCCTTGTTATCTCCTTGGGTCCGCTGCGTCCATCCTGTTCAATCTCAGCATTATGATCCTGCATTAAATATTCTATTACAATTTTCTTTACTATATTAACATCGTACATGGTAGCCTCCCCATCAGTTGATTGTACCAAAATATCACTAACAGAAGCCTCCTCCAATTGCCTCCCAATTCTCCTTACCAACTCTTCTTTAGTCATATCTCCTAAATCTACAAAAATGGCAGCCTTCAATAATTTGAGCAAGAACCTACAAGAAACACTTCCTTTCTCAGCAGGCAATAACCACACGATTGTTTCAGCTATTAAACGATGCTTTGACACATCCCAGTGGTGGATCATACCCTTGCTGAAATTAGGCAATCTACTGTTGGCATAAGCTTTCAAAGCTGCTCCAATCACTTCACCAGATAGAATTTTCTTTTTTATTATTTTGGTCATTAAAGACCTGTATAAATCGACTTCAAGTTCACATAAATCTTCAACCCACCAGTCTGCTGGCACATTACGAGTTCTACCTTCGGTCTGGTTTGAATCAATACCATTTTCCTGAGGGAGTTTCATCCTGTTATAGGAATAGGACCAATCAACTTTGGATACATCAAGACACACCTTACTTGCAATAGATTCAATGCAATGATTCACAATCTTTAAGTCATCAGCCAAAGGTAACATAGGAATTGAAGTCTGAAGAACAATGATAGAATCCTTCCAACTACGAAAGATGGTAGAACTAAGAAAGACATCAATCTTGTGAATGAGGTTCCCTTTCTCAATAGTCTCATGCATTCCAAGGTATTCTGCTGCACATCGAGCTGCAATTACATTGTAAGCATTGAGGGTAACAGTCATGCCATAGCAAAACTTGGCGCATATCTCAAAGGCAGAAGCACCTCCAGGAATTTCAGAAATTTGAACTTCATCTCCAGTGTCCAAATTACAGGTGGTGGCCAACTTCTGCAAGTGAGCACTCTTTGACAGGAGAGGGAACTACGTAGAGGGTTTCAGTGTATATTAGTAAATATGATGAAATATGGATCCAACCAGATTGATATGTTTGTAACAAAACAAGCCCACTTTCCCCAAAGGCAACAATATGTTTCAAATACTGATTGGGCTACCAAATTTTGAAGAAAACCAAACTGCAATTTGGAACCTCATTAGGAAGGTCTTAGAATTAGTTTAGAGCTTACGTGATTGTAATGGTGATAAAAATACATATAATTCGTGATAAAAATGCATGTAAGATTTTTCATTTCAACAAGTATTAGCAAAAGAGAACTAATAGTGTTTTGCAATGGATTTTGGGGCTACAGAACAAGATACCACTTAAAAATTGGCTAGACGTTCTCATTTCGGGGACTTGAAAAAGGCTTGTTAAGATGGGGTATACCTTGTGTAAATAAAACTTTATATCACCGACAGTAACAATGATATCTGATGCCAAATCACTTGCCACAAACCTGCACAAGATATGCATTCTGCTAAGCACTCTACTCTTTAGTTACATAAAAATAAAAATCAGACCCAGAAGAGGCAGAGTTTTCAAGTTATTTGGCTTTGTCAAGGAGCTAGTTGAGTAGTTAAAAGCACTGTTCTTTTTCTTCTATACTCTAAAATGTCTAATTCAACGCCAAAACAGGACAGCTTAATCACAACAAAAGGGAGAAAAACAATGGTGAGATGATTATGAATTTGTAAGTTACAGATGCCAAATTCCAAGGCAAAATTCTTGTTTCTTAGGTTGATATTAAACCGCTATACTGAGGCTTCAGAAATCAGAATACTAATGTTAGGCATGAATTGCTTCCGTAAATCCGCTTTTCCCAAGATCCAATTTGGACTCAGCAGGAAAGCTAACTAGCATCAATATTCTCTGAACTCCTTGATTTCACGGTACATTATGAAGCATTCTCCACCCTATATTTAATACTCTCCCCTATCACCTAAGCTGAATCCAATTCCTACCTAATTCCTTGTCAATTACAGCTGCTTCATGCAGACCATGAATCTAAGTTCAACAAATGATCTGAAGAACATACACAGAGAGATGTATTCCATTTACCCAGGCAAAGAGTTAGGTTAAGCCCGTCCTACAAAATCCTATACACGAAAGAAGTATGTAACTCACCTAGCATTGTTTCCATCAGTCTGGAAGGTATCTGGCTTGGAACCAAGTTTCATAAACTTCATCTTAAGATCACTTTTAACAATTCAAACAAAACTTGCCCACTAATGAATTGTTAATTGCTAAATCCAGTGAGTCATGGCCACCCCCACTAAAAATGAGCCTGAGTTCTATAATCACTTCCCGGAAATGGAAAAGAGTACCCCAGAAGTGGTGGCGGGACCAAGTCACTAAACATATTTTAAATCTCAATTATAAGAGAAAAGAAGGATTTGTAGCAGAGCAATGATTGTTACTACCGAATCTTGACAGCGAACAAAGCAGAAGATGAATTTTTAAGAGGGATAACAAGATGGGATGGTCCATTTTTTTTATTCAAAAGTTCTCCTAAATGGAAAGGGACCCTAAGAAGAGATTGTTTCCTTGGTCGGCGGCAAAGCCCACCAAGTCCGGGCACACCAAGTCAGCTAAGCAGACATGACCAACAGAATAACTAAACTAAATATTTCTCAAAGCAGAGACACCAGCAAGCACAAATCTGACTCCACCTCGCTTGCCCACAATACAAGTGCTTGGTGGTCGTCAAGATTAACTGAGTTAATTATCTTGTTTTTTCAGTTCTAGTGAAATATTTTCTTTGCCTCTTAGCGACCTTTAAAGCCAAAAAGACTCACACCAAGACCTACGGTGGTTTAAAGCTTCAAGTTCCAAGTCCAACATCATACAAATATTTATAGTTTTCCATCGGATTCACTGTTGAAGTTTGAAACCCACCAACTGGGGACAGCACATCGGTATCGGGCGAAACAAGCACCAAAACGCTAGACAATCAGCATCTTTTGCAGAGCATGAAATAAATAAACAAGATCCTGAATATGGAATTATTGCAATAATGCGAATCTCTCAAAGCAGCCACGCGCCACTGTATCATTAACAAATCTGAGCTGGAATCTCATGACACGACACAGTGTTTTTTCGATTTTAAATATAAGACATATTTTATAATAAAAATTACGTTATAAAATGAATACCATATTTAAAACTGAAGGAGTTTTGTTTTTCATTTAGAGGCATAGTAACAATTAATATTAGTCATTTGATCCCATCATGCTTCAATATTGATAATATATTCTTCCATGTTTGTACAAGGTTTCATTTCCAAAATTTTTTATTGATTTCATTATAAGGTTGCAAAAGAAAAAATGATGTATACATGAGATTTGTTTTCTTAAGTGTAATATCACTCTATCAACATGATCAATCATGCACTTACTTTAAATATTAATAATTTACCTTAATAAAACGATAAAGTCGCATAGATTATTATGAAATTCACTTGTGTTGGCCCAAAAAAAAACAAAAGAAAGGAAATTATTCACTTGTGAAATACTCCTCATGTCCTTAATATAAAACCTATTTAACTAATTTGATTGGTTTAAGGAAGTTAGGTAAGTTAGTTAATTATAAGCAATATCACATGTTTTTCCTAAAATACCATAATCATCTTTTTTAACATCCTCCCTTCCTCCTCTACTTGATTATGATTGAGGGAGTATCCATATATAATTTAGAAAAAATTAGTAAATATGAGATGTAGATCTTATATTTAGAACCAAAATCAACTCAATAAGGACTGGAGGAGAATTTTGGAATCCTTGGAGAAAATATTCACTTGCCAGAATATTGTTGGATTTTTGTTGTGTTGGGTGGCTGGTAACAACATTCTTGCAATCTGGGTGGAAAATATTGCCGGAATATTTTTGGAGCAGCTGATTAATCTGGTTCCAATAAGAATTTTCTCTCGCTTTCCTTATTTCGTTGCTGCTGTAAAAGAAAGAGTGACAGCTCGTTGTCTAGCGGTGTAAGGACTGCTGAATCCTTTTGGGTCTCGAATTTGAGTTACTTGGGAAGTATTCATAAGAGATTATTCGGCACTTAAAAAGTTTTTTTTTGTTTTGCTCTTATATACCTTAGAAATTTATTCTCATGACAAAAATACTTTGACTATTATCCGCATAATTGAAGGATCAAATTTAACAGTTTAGAATATTATTAATCTTTAAATAAAAAGAGTACAAACCATATAATCTAGACAGAACTAGATGAACTACGAAAACAAGAATCTGGACGAAATCAGAACGTCCATAACAGCACGTCAAAGGGAGGTAGATTTTTTTTTAAAAAAAAAAAGAATGCAAACTGAAGAGAGAAAGTATTTGTGACCTGAAGTACGTCAAACGGATTGTAAAGGCAAGAGCACGTGCATAACAGTACGTCAAGGTAGGAAGATATTAAAAAAAAAAAAGAAAAAGATGCAAACTGGAGAGAGAAAGTATTTGTGACCTGAAGTTTGGGATGCATGAGATGGATGATGAACATGACTACTAGAGAGAATTTAATTGTGATAGGTAGAATGAACATCTTTTTTCTTTTTTTTCCTTATTTTTTTGTCATAAAAGTTGTGAGCTTTGATGCCATGTTAGAACTTGAAGGATTGAAAGTTGAGGAAAATGGCCTTAGAATATTATTAGAGTGGGGAAGCTTGAAGACACATTTACGACAACAACCAAACATGAATCGTCGGAAGCTTCCTTTACTTGGGTTCTAGATCCTGCCTCCTCTGCTAAAAAAATATGACAGTTAGCGTAAGGGATGAGGTCATCCCCATGTGTACACTCAAGGCCCGCCCATATGTGGGTTGCTGAGACCGAAAATCAGATTTGGGATAGTCATCCTGGGAATAGTAAATGAGTGATACGAATCGGAAACGAAATGCAAAATGATATCCGACCCGATTTGGAAAAATGTTGACTTGGACCATGTTAACCGATTGGTTAGCTCGCTGCTTTGGCCAAACCACCAATCACAGAGAAGAGAAAAGGGATGGAAAAAGCATACCAGACGCAGCGTCACAATCACCGCTATCAGATGCATGAAGGTCTCTTGCGTGGCTAAAGCAAGGGTAGGCTCGAGGAGTTTCAACTGAGACCAATACACTCGACCATTGCTGTTGCAATCGCCCAGCAAAAGCATATGCTTATCGCTGTAAGTCACCTACCAACACTAAAACCTCAACCACTCATGACACACACCTATACCGGGCATACCCTCCCAGGAGGTGGAGAGTGGCACCGGAAACTTAGTCGACAAAGAGGCCGAATGATCTTTGCCCGAGATTACTACCATGCTAATGAACCTCATTCAATAACACAGATTCCTGTGCTAATGGACCTCATTAATGTCGCACTAATACTGAAGTCAGAGCCTGCTGCATTCACTTTTAAAAATTATTAAACAATAAGTATATACACATCCGATTTTTAATATAAGACATATTTAACTAATTTGATTAGATTAGGAAGGTTAGGTAAGTTAGTTAATTATAAGAAATATGACTTGTTTTCCCTAAAATACCATAATTATCTTTTTTAATATCTTTCCTCCATCTTCTATTTAATTATGATTGAGGGAGTATCCGTAGGGTTGATTTAGGAAAAATTTGATAAATATAATAAATAGTTCTTATATTTAGGATCAAAATTAACTCCACAATTAGGTCCTATATTAAGAACCAGAGGAGTAATTTAATTTTTCTACCAGAAAAAAGATATATTCAAAAAATTATTTTAAAAATAATAAATGTACTGAAAACTATCTTTTTTTTTTTTTGGGTAAGCACATATATCCTTCTATTAGAGGTAATCTTGTTTGAGACACTGTCATAAACTAAATGTGGGCACCTCTTTTTGTAGATGTTTAAACTTTAATTCACCACATTGTAAAAACTAGTTCTTTCTGCTCGACTAGACTCGACTCTTATTAGTTAAAATATTTCAAGTTGCTAACATGTGCTTTAGATGTTTCCTATAACAACTGGATTTGGGCTAAATCGTGGCCCATATAACCCGGGGCCACAAGCCCCATTTTGGGTTTTCAGAAAATGAAAATGTTTCTTTCGGCAGAAGAGCGTGAAAATGGCTACCACTTGTCATCCCCGTCGGCTTCAGACCTCTTGAATAATTTGAATGCTGAAATAAAATTAAGGAATCCAAATTAATAAAACCACTGATTTAATCAAACGTAGAAATAAAATATGTGTGTTTCAATTGATGGATCAACTTGTTACCCTGTCAAAATTTCCAGATGTTGCTAGGTTTTTCCACAACGATAAACACGTGTGAAATTTCCTAGATATATAATTAAAAAATAATTCCCATTTGAAAGGGAAAGCATTGAGTTTGAAATGTTGTATTTTGAAGTATAGTAGCTGAACCTCTCATTCTCTCAAGACATGTCAAATCGCAAATGCAAAAATTAAAATAAATTAAGTGAAACATATATATATTTTTTCTGGGGCCAGTAATTAACCAGGGCGTATTAACTACTAATAAATAATAATCAACATAAATCATGCTTAACATGATAGTCTCGTCTTCAACATGTTCACACGTGAGGCTGCTTAAGCACCTAACCCCTGGATAATAATAATGGATTATAATTAGTGGGTACGTTGTCGTGTATAAAAGCAAATCATGCAACAACTTGTTGGATTATTTATTCATTGCAACAAGAGGAAAAAAAATCAATTTAGGTAAGAATCAGATACAAATGTGGAATTTCTTTTACTTTTTTTTTTTGGTTGGAAGAATTTCTTTTACTTTACCTACGTACAAGCAAGAGATGAATCCAACGTAGTGAGAGCTTTAAATAGTACTACTTATCATTTTTAATATAAAAATTAGATAATTAATTTATAAATATAAAAAAATTAAGTTAGCTATTCATATTTCATAAAAAAAATGTGTTTTAATTTTCTTAAAATACTTTTTAATAATGTGGCCTGGGGAGGACTCACCCTAGGCTCGGTACTTTAAATAGAATATAAGCTGAAGTGTATTGTTTATTACTCACGAATATTATAATTTCTTTTTTTATAAATTTTACTTTGATATGTATAGAAATATGACCACAGAACTTTTTATATTTTATATGGATGCTGATTTAGAGATAAGTAAGGCCTAACTGCCAGATCGAGGATCTGATTCCCCATAAAACCTCTTGTAAT